TCATAGCAGGGGTGGCTTGTGGAGCATCTCAGTCCATGGCAGTCAGGAATAGGTGGAACAGGTTGTTCACACCACGGTGGACCAGGAGGCAGAAAGCAAGCCAGGAACCAGGGACCTGATACAACCTCCAAAGGCGTACCCTAATGACTTACTTCTTAAAGGTTCCATGCCTTCCAAAATAGTACCACCAACTGGGAAACAGCAGCAAAACATGGGTGTTGGGGACATTTCAGATTCAAACTATAACACTGATCATCTCCTTCAGCCAGGTACCGAGAGCACAGCCAGGGGCACCTTCGCTAAGTGCAGACTGTTTTCCTATGACTTTCAGAACAGTCTTCAATGGCAATCTGATGCTGTCAGGATCACAACACATAGACCTATTTCACATAGCCTGCAAATGCCGGCAAGCACCCGACTTTCCCTCTCCTTCTCTATCCTTGAACCCCACATTGCCCTCTGGGCTCCAGTCTTATGCATTATCTGTCTAGTCACTTCCCACTGGGCTCTTTCTCAGTCTGGAGCCTTCATATAATTGCTACCTTCCTGTGTCAACTATTCCTCAATCTTAAGAGCCTATGTAGGCAGAATCTGTGAATTCAAGACCAGCTTGGTCTTACAAAGTAAGCCCTAAGCCAACCAGGGATACACCATGAGACACTATTTCAAAAAATAAATACAAATAAAAGAACCTAGCCCAATAATCACTTTCCAGGTATGTCTTTCTGACCCCTTGTTTAAGACTCACCTGGTACCATGTATTTGTCCTGTCAGCATTTAAACTCTCGAAATTCCACATTGATTAGGTGATATCATCCCCTTTGGGTTTTGTGTGATTTGGAGACAAAATGCTTGTGCCTAGCTAATTCCATCTACAACATGAGAATAGCGTTCTCATAGAGTTTGTCGTGGTTAATTGTGTGCATCTAGTGTGTAAGAAATAAGTCAGCAGAGAAAAATGAAAGGATAGATTCATTGCAACCTCAAAACTGACTTTATTGGCCAGAGAGGTTAGTGCTCCCAAACTTGGCAGCTCTGTATTAGAGAGTACAGATAGAACCCTTGTGGGGGTTGAGAATCAGATTTTATAAGTGGGAGTAGGGAGAGGGGAGAGCCTGGCTTCACCAGAACCAGAAACACGGCTTTAAAAAAAAAATAAAATAAATAAACTGCGTGGTGAAAGAAGGGCCAGGCTGCCTGATTTTTCAAGCCCCTGCCTCCAGGACACGTGGTGCTGCTTATTTGGCAGTTTTCTTGATGCCCTGGGCCGGTTTTATGACCTCAGTTTGAGGTGAGGGATTTATTTAACATTTGACTGTGGAGTGTTCAGATATTTGATCAAATGCTAGTCCTGGTACATCTGTGAAGGTGTTAAGATGTGACTGACATTTTAATTGATAGTTGGACAAGCAGGTTGCCCTTCTTCATTTGAGTGGACCTCATTCAACCATTAGGGGTCTTGCCAGCATTTTAGCCTGGCTCGTAGTTCAGCTTCAATGCTGAAAAAAAAAAAAAAAAAAAAAAAAAAAAAAGCGGTACCTGTGACTAACACATGGCAACCAAATCTATTTGTGTTCAGCTGCTGTAGCCCCTGTTGCTGGCACTGCATTGAGAGCCAAAGTCCCATGCCCGCCTGCCCGTGCTAGAGACTCTAGCTGCTTGTGCCCTGCTCTTTCCATCAGTTCCCTTCTTCTCATAAATATTATTCTTTTAAAGTGATGCATTCCAATTTGCATTTGCGGAGTATGCTATTTCGATACATACAATGAGTCTTTATCGGAGGAGAGTGACTGACTGGTCCGCTTGGCATCTCCCAGTTTGTTGTATATGGAGCACTGAAAATCCTCACTACTGACTATTTTTAAGTATGCAGTCAATTGTTAACAACCTTACTTGCTTTGCTAGGCTAAGGAACACTAGAATGTGTGCTTCCACCCATTAACCATGCCCCAGTTATGCTCCCACCCACATCGTCCCCAGGCCTTACTAACCACTGTTCTCTCTCAATTTTAGATCAGCACTCTTTTACGCCCACCTAAGAATGAGAATACACGGTCCTCTTCTTTCTGTGCTCAGATTATTTTACAATATCCTCCCGTTTCATTCATGTGACTCTAAGTGACAGGATCCCATTTGTCTGATGACTAAACATTATTCCATCATGCGTGCGTGCTATGTTTCCTTCATCCATTCAACCACTAATAGGCACTCAGGTGCATTCCACATCTTGGTGATTGCAGATGTGTTCTGATTTTTGCTAGAAGTTTGCCCCAGGTTTTGGTGACTGTTCTCTGGTTAGTTCTCTGCCTGGAGTTATTTGAAAACATACAAAAGTGGGGAGATAGGAAGCAGCATGAAAGGCTTGTCTCCAAGAATAGAAGTAGCCCTGAAAAGGCCTAAGAGATGGCTGGCTTGCTCACTAAGTTGGGGAGGAGGAATTGTCCCCACATGCCCTGTGCTTTTTATTCTCAGAATAGACTCCTTCTAAGTCCTGTGTCAGCCAGCAGGAGCCTGAGGGCACACCTATCATTGGACCTGCACTGTGCAAAGTAGCAGTGTGGTATCCGTTCAAGCCCTTGAATATACTCTTTGAAGGAAAACAACCTCAGAGATTTACCTGAGGCCTGGCAGCGGACAGCCGGCATCATCAGCCTAAGAACAGCTGAAGGAAGGTCTAACAATTAAGGAAAAGACACCAGGGCCTATATCCATCATGAAAAAGAAAACTGATGCAAGTTTTCTTCAGGCAACGCCAAGTTCAAAAGGAAACTGAGTTTTCAGTTCACTGGACAGGCCCCCTGCTCTGGGGTGCAAAACAATGACCTTGAAGAGTAAATGGCTCTGACACTCTGTAATTCTGAGATCTTTCTCAGGTGGCCTACAGAAGCAACACTGCTGGATGTCCTTAAGCCACCTCTACCCAGAAGCCATGACACAACCGGCTAGAAGAAAGAAGTCTACCTGTGAGCATCTTCCTGTCTGTGACACCCACAACTAACACCTGCCCCCGGCAAAAAAAAAAATACAGAAAGTCTTCCACCAGAAACCATGGATAGTCCCTTAGCTAAGAGACCAAGAATTAGAAAAGAGATACCATCTACCATCCATCGTGGCCTCAACTTTATGTGTGGCAGATGGATGTTGGATCTTTGCCATTTTTTAACTATGCATTGCATGTCATTTAACTTCTCCAGGTCTCAATACTGCTTCATCTGTAAAGTGTGTGCACTGCAGAATTGACTTCACAGGCTTCTTCTTTTCTCATTTTACTTGAAAAGCATCACGCCAAGTGCTGAGTGTGCAACGTGGTAGTTTGGAATAGAAATGTTAACTATCATTATTCAACAATAATCAGCTTTGTAGTACTGAATTATGCCCTGGATCTAGTTGTCATTTTGGTACCAGTAAAATGAACCAGGGGCTGGGGAGATGGTTCAGCAGTTGAGTGCATACTGCTCTTCCTAACGACTGGGGTGTGGTTCTCAGCACCCAAGCAAGGCAGCTCACAATCACTGTAACTCTGCTTCAAGGAAATCCAAGACTTCTTGGGGCCTCTGCAAGTACCTGCACTCATGTGTGCACATACAACACACACACACACACACACACACACACACACACACACACACACACACACACCAATAATAATCTCTAAAAATCTTTCTTACAAAACAATATAAACTTTCTCTCCAGACCCTTTCTTGTGACAGTAACCTATTTTGGCTGTGTTGTGGGGTCTCTGAAAGAGAAAAAAAAAATAATGGCATTACTTCGAGTAATAATCAGGCCTCTAGGAAAGATCTGTGATCGTAGGTCTAGCCCCCATAATCCATAGGGCATAGCAGAGTCTAGAGATGCAAGAAGGCAGCATGGGCAGAAGCTAGTTATGTTGGGAAGCAGCCTCAGGGCTGTGGGAGGAGAGTATCATCAACTCCACCCTGTAGAAGTGAAAACAAATGTTTATCCTCTAGGGCAATGGTTCTCAACCTGTGGATTGCGACCCCTTTAGCAATACATTATGATTCATGACAGTAACAAAATCATAGTTATGAAGTAGCAATGAAAATAATTTTATGGTTGGAGGTCCCTACAACATGAGGAACTGTATTATAGGGTCGTAGCATTAGGAAGGTTGAGAACCGCTGCTCTAGGGTCAAAAAAGGAACAGGCAAGAGGGGAAAGAAAAAGCAGGAAGACTTCAGCTGGGTGTAGGAAACCAGTGCAAACTGAAGCCGTTGTGGGGCCTGTGCTGCCCTGAGGCTGGACTCCTTCTCCTTGTTTCTCTCCATATCCCAGAGCTGTGGATCTGCTGCCACAAGGGACTCGGGGTAAATATTTCCAGAATGTGAACCAAGATTAAGAGGCTTTTGCCTTGGTTCCTTGTTGATAGGGTGGTGAAAGGCAGTTCTCCCAGGGGAATGGCTGATGGAGGAGTGGCCAGGTTACTAGGGAAGTTAGTGACCACTAGAACCTCTGGAGAGAAAGGAAAATATGTGGTTGTAGTTGCCTATACTGTATGCCAGGTGTTCAGCTGGACTCTGTTCCTGCAATCAAATGATGTGTGCCATACTGCATCACCACGAGGACCCAGAAAGCCCTCTTTATAGATAAAGAAACAGACTGAGTGGGTTACAACTTTCAGCCAAGGAGCTAAATGAAAATAAACCCAGGTCTGTGTGACACCAAGGGCAAAGGATGAGATAACTCCTCCTGGCCCTCAGTTTGGTAATATAAAACTGTATGACCTTGAAATACTACCAGACCTTAATTCACATAGGAAACCAGGAGAGCTCATTTACCCATACCATGCCATGCACTGAGCTTCATGGGTGTTACCCAGTCATCCATGACAGCGGGTGTTGATTTTTATCTCTATTTCAATGATAGAGAAACTGAGGCACATAAAGTGTTTCCCAGATTACCTAGGAGACAAACCTCTGAACTCACCTTGGAGGGATTATCTAGATTAGGTTAAATGAGGTAAGAAGACCCACCTTGAATGGAGGCAGAGTCACTCCACAGATGGACACTGGACTCCATAAAAAGGAAGAAAAGCTGAACATGGGCAGCCATCTGTCTTCGCTGTCTAGCTGCAGATGCGATGTGAGCAGCTGCCCCGAGCTCCTGTCACCATGACCGCTCTCCCATGATGGCCTATACTTTCAAACTGAAACAAAACTTTCCTTGCCTGGGTTGCTTTTGTTGGGTCTCTCCTTCCAGCGAGGAAACAGGCAGCTAAAACAGCGACTTGTAGATCATCGCGAGGCGTCAAACCCGAAGTGTGTAGTAAAGTCTAGAGCCCTAACAGCTGTTATACAGAAATGCAAATGAATATCAAATTACCCTCTGCATAGTCTAGCTACTCAGCCACTAAGTATGGATATTACTAATTCATAGTAGTCTAAGGATGAATATTAGAAACGAATCTAGTAAGGAATGGGAGCTTTCTAGCTCAACTTGGAAGCTCATTTCCCTGCATCATGGGCTCCTCCCTTGGGGAAGGCATTTGATTTTCGTTGTAAATGTTTGTGTAGTATTGTTCAGAATGCAACTCAGCCTGCTCTTTTACAATACAAAAATAATATGGATGGGCATTTTTGCAATGTTGGGTCTGGAATTGTAAATCTTCTGTGGGAAGAAGATAATAAAAACAAAAAGCCCTACTTCAGACACAAATGAATAAAAGAATAGATCATGTCCCTCTCTTGATTAAACTCCAGTGGTTGTAGCAGAGATTGAGCTGGCATTCACAATCTATGGGGGAAAGCATAGTTTAGTAAATAAATGGCTTTGGGGAACCCAGAGAGACATTGCAGAAAAAAAGTGAAATTGCACCAAAACCTCAAATAATACACCCAGATAAGTTCCAAGTGCATCAAAGATTTAGGCACCCTGTGAAAGTATTTTAAAAGGACAGAGTAGTCATGGCCTCCTCCTATACACCCTGACCCACCCACCCATCTCTCCACTGGGTCATTTAAACACTAAAGAAATGCTGCTACAGTGTCATGGCACAGACTGCTTTTCTCACGTAGGTTGGTGTGTTCAACCTGTGCCCATTGGTAAAATTTTCAGACCAGTCTATGCTAGCTTAAAATCAAACATCTATTATGACTGCACTCGAGTCTTTAGCAATGAAAAGAAAGGGGGTGTGATTTTAATGTCTAGTGTTGTCAACTTGACATAATCTCCTGAGAGATGAGCCTCTGAATATGTCTGTGAGAGATTATCCAGATAAGGTGAATATGGATGGGCAGACCCATCTGACAGTGGATGGCACCATTCTCTGGGCTGGAGTTCTGAACTAAATACTAAGGGAAAAGCGAGCTGACCACCAGCATTCATCTCACTCTGGACCTTGACTGCAGATGCCATGTGCCCAACTGCCTCAAGCTCCTGCTGCCGTGACTTCTTCCCATGGTGGACTGACTGTACCTTAGAACTCTGACGCTTCTTTAAGTCGGGACTAATAAAGTAGCTATCTCCAGTTGCATCTATTTTTCCTTTATTCTTCTTTCAGATGGAAACAAATTTCGTTGTGTCTTTCATATTTGTCTTTCTGTTTTGCTTTGCTTTATTTACTTAATGTCTCTCTCCCTCTCCTCCCTCCCTGCCCCCCCTCTGGAAGCAAGTGTGAGCATCAAGTGACATAGTGCACATGTGTACATGGGGAGAGCCGAGGTCAACCCTCAGGAGCTGGTTCTCTCCTTCCACAATGTGTGTCCTGGGTATCAAACTCAGGCTATCACCCTTGGTGGCAGGTACCTTTCCCTACTGAGCCACCTCTCCATTCCCACCACATTTCCTTTATCTATTCCTCTGCTGCTGGACATCTCAGTGCACTGCATATTTGTTATCCTAGTCGGTGTTCTATTGCTGTGAAGAGACGCCATGACCAAGGCAGCTCTTATGAAAGAAAGCATTCAGCTGAGGGCTGGCTTACAGTTTAGTCCATTATTGTCATCATGGTGAGGAGCATGGTGACATGCAGACAGACATAGTGCTGGAAAAGTAGGTGAGAATTCTATATCCAGATCTGCAGACTCTGGGCCTGTCATGGGCTTTTGAGACCTCAAATCCCACCCTAAATGACATACTTCCTCCAACAAGGCCACACCTCCCACTCCTTGCAATTCTTTCAAACAGTTCCACTCCCTGGTGACGAAGCATTCACATATATGAACCCATGGGGGCCATTCTTATTCAAACAACCACACCTGTATAAAATTTTAATGGATAACATATAAGGTTTAATATTTACAAATAAATATGTAAAACACTTACACATATTAGAAATGAAATAGACTATTTTATACAATAGATGCTGTGGTTTTTAGTTTACTTTCACAATGAATGCTGCTTTTAATAAGACACATGTGTAGGTAAAAACTTACAAAACTACCTTTCCTGTAGTTCAATGTTGCAGTACAACAACATAATTAAGAGGGAAAGGTAAAAGGTGTCAGCTGTGGAAAACTGAGACTCAGGGAACTCATTCACTATCCAGGTTGCATAAGAGTTTTGAGGTTGTGGACCATCAAATGGTCTAATAAAGCAGCGATAAGTATTATGTATCAAAGGACAACATCCTTCTCCTGGCTAGATAAAAATCAGCTGTCTATACTAAGTGGGATATTTTTACATATAGGAGGAGAGAGTTAGCTAGGATCAATACCACATGCCTGCCTACCTGACATTTTGCAGGAAGGCAGGCCTCATCAACGCACAGGTCCTGTAGCTATTTACCATGTGTAGTTCCTGTAAGGCACATCCTGTTAAAGACAGTTAATTAGCAGAGAGAAAGTAAGGATTGTGACTTTCATAGATAACTTTCTTTTTCTCACTTTTTATATAATCATGGGAGATAAGATTTGTCACTCCATTTTATTCTATTTAATGTTTCATTTTATTTTATTTTGAATCTCTCACTATGTAGCCCTGGATGGCCTGGAACTCACTACTTAGCCCTGGCTGATTTGGAACTGGTTGGCTTGGACTCACTATGTAGAGCAGTCTGGCCTAGAACTCATAGAAATCCATCTGCCTCTACCTCTTCCGAGTTGGGACTAAAGGCATGAAGTGCCATGCCCAACAATATCATACACATTTCAAATGTGATAACATGCCAGAAACTTAAATAACTTGGCCAGAGAATAGCTAGGACAAGGCCAAAATTGAAGGCAGTAAATATCTCTATGCCCTATGCACAGTTCTCTGTCATCTGCAGTGGCCCAGGACTCTGAAGGAAGAACTGAAAAGGGACTCTCTCAAGACTAGCCCTTAACTGATCACTGTGAGGCCACAGAACAGCGGTGCTGGGTGATCTTTCCTGGAGAGTCACAAAGAAACATCTGTTCACCCTAATCCAAAGAAACAACTCATCCATGTCTAGCTCTGTGAACCAGTGAGTTTATTGTGTTAGTTACTCAGCACAGGTGAGGGGTTCCAGGACTGCAATGACTGGAGCAGCTGTACCAGAGGCTTTCCCACCACATGTAACCCACAGATACTGCACCATGGAGTTCCCACCCTCACCAGTGTAATACAGCACATACCACACACTCACACACATGCACACACATGCTTGGTTAAGACTACATGCAGCTGGGGCATGAGAAAGGGAGGATACCTAAAATCTCAGATGACCCTCTGCCTATTCCCTTCTAAAAGGGAATTTTAATAGGCCCCAATCTTGCAATCTTTTTTCTTGAAGATCTATTCACATATTTTATGTATATATGTGTGTGCTTGAGGGTTATGTATGTGAATCACGTGCATGCAGAGAGCCCATGGAAGCCAGAAGAGGGTGTTGGATTCTGTGGATCTTTAGGTACAGAGCTCTCTGAGCACCAGATGTGGGTGCTGGGAACTGAACCCAGGTCCTCAGCAAGAGAAGCAAGAGCTCTTAACTGCTGAGCTGTCTCTCCAACATCAAAATCTCACAACCTGATGACCATCACCTGTGGGTAACCACAGCCATTTTGACTTCAAGAGGGCAATGCCTTATTACATCCATTCTATTGTTAGTATTTTCAATAACTTTGAAGATATTCACATAAACACAGTGGTCCTTCTGGGCCAGACAGAGTTCTCACATCCTACCTCAGCTATATTTGAACACCAATAATATAATCATTAACATATTTTGAAATGAAAATGTTTCATTTGAATATGAATAAAAATCTAGTTACATCACTTTGCAAAATTAGCACCACCGGCCTTAATTTTACTTGGTGGATCTTGTCATGAAATTGGTAGAAGGAATAGATGATCATATTCGTGCCTAGAAAAAATAACAGCAGGTTGGGGCTAATTTTGTGATATTATTCCTTACAACTCTCAGAGCTGCTCACCCTGTAGAGTCTCGGTGGGACTTTCTCTTTTTTACCTTTGATGTGGACCATTTCATTCCGTGCTCCATTTTCCAACCCAGTGTATTTTATAATGATATCCATCATGTCTGTTTGTCAGTTTATGGCAGCTTAAAAAATTGCCTCAAGGCCAGTAATGAGAAGAAATCTTTTCCACTTCCTGTAGATTGTTTTATGTGCTTCACAGTTTTCTGCACCAAATAATAAAAAATAACATTGCTTTCCAAACTGTCCTTTATCTTGCCTTTTCCTTCTCCTTTTAATCCTTTATGGCTTATTTCCTCTTGCTTTTACTGTGTTTATGCTACTGTGTTTTTGTTCATAATTAATAAGATATAAAAGTCAAGAACATAGTCTCAAGACAGAAAGTTTTGCAGAGGCTTTATTTCAACTTGCCTTTGATCCAATATAAAAGAAGCTATCTGGAGTTCTTAATAAAATATGTGTGTATGCAAGAATACTGTACATGTGTCCTATCTATCCACCCCTGAAGAGAGGCCATACTTCAGGAACTGTGCTTTGAAATAGAGATGTCAATCCATATCAGGGAAGAAAGCAATAATTTATTTGAGTTTTCATAGCAGGCTTGGTGACATACACCCTTAATGTCAACATTCAGGAGGCAGTGGCTGGTGTACTGCTCTGAGTTCAAGGCTACCCTGATCTACATATTGATTTACAGAACAAATGATGCTATATGGTGAAACCCTATGTCAAAATAAAGTAATAAAATAACAACAACAACAATAATAATAAAGCTTTTTTATGCAGAATTGGGAGTCAGATCCAGGGACTTGTACTTGCTGGACAGGTCCTCTGCCATTGACTACTGAACTACACACCAGCCTTCATAAGTTAATTTTAATACAGAAAGAACTATATAGGTTCCTGGGTGTGAACAATACTACCACCTGGAAAACACTACTAGACATCGGGAAGGTCTATTATTTCTGGTATTATTAGAAACATCTCTGTGATAAGGGAAGTTAGAGAGTTTTCGATAATGACTTGTCTTTTACTCTGTTTTTTAAAGACCTTATTATACCCATGCCTGCCCACACAACTTCAGGTCGCACCATTCCATTCTTGTTTTCTGTTTATAGTGGCTTGGATTTCTCACAACATTCTTTTCATTGTCATCCTAAGGTGCTAATGCTTTAAAGTGCCCCCTTGAGTCACCAGGCAAATGGTATTACCCTAGGACAATTTCCTGAAGAATATTCCCCGGGCTTGAAATTGACTGTAGTTGGTGTGCTTCTCAGCTATACCTCCTCGATTGCCCTGTATTAAACATGCAAAATAAGTCTTTCCTAAGTGAACAGGTATGGTGATATTTTATTTGTGCTGAAATGTGATTTTATTTGTATGTTAATACATAAAGTTACCTGGGGGTCAGAGCTAATAGCAAACCATTTAGCAGAAGTCTGGCAGTGGTAGCAATGCTCTTAATCCTCATCACAAGACAGGCAGAATCTCTGTGTGTTCAAGGACACAGCCAGCATGGAGACACACACCTTTAATCTCAATACCAGCCATAGAGACCTGGAGTTCTGTATAGACAGGCAGTGACAAGGAGGTCATGTGGTTGGGTTTACAACCAATGAGAAGGCAAAACAGAAAGTCAATAAAAATACAGACACACAGGAAGTAGGTCTCTCTCTCAGGGGAAGGACAACAGTGACAGTGAAGGGTAAGAAGGAGGTCTTAGCTCTTGGCTGCTGCTCAATCTCTGGGCTTTTAACTCTGCTTTTGGCTCTGTGTTTCTTATTTAATAAGACCATTCTGAATTACATCTACAAATGGGGGGCTAAGTCAAATTTACTTCTACTTGCTTTGACCTCAGTTCGTGTTGGTTTATGGGAATGAATGAATGAATGAATCAATCAGTCAATCAATCAATCAGTGAAGAATGGTTAGACAGATTGGTAGAAAGGTTGGGTATAAGGGCAGATGGATGGATGGTAAATGTTGGAATGCCTTCCTGGGACAGTCTGGCTCTCAAACTACTGTAGAAAGTACCCTGATGTGTGGGAAACCCTGCCCTGTTTTTAAACACTTCTTACTGTCATGTGGAGCAGTTGGAATCTTTTTGCCCCTTGCACAACACCAGCTCATGATAAACTTTCTTTCCTCAAGGCCAAAACTGATTTGCATACATTTTCCCAGGATCAAGGAAGAACCCTTACAGACTTACATTTCTTTGATCTCCAAATGCTCATTAGAGCCTTGCTCTCCAAACCTAGAAGAAAGATGCTGCAAAACTGTTAAGAAAAAAGTCGCATTGTAAGAGGACATTCTTAAAAAGTACTTGAGAAAGAGAAATTTTATATTACTAAAACTTTTCAGTTGTAGATCCATAAACATTTCATCTCTGATGGTCTATTCAGACACAAAATGCCAAAAAGACCAAGGTAGAAAATATCAACAAACTCCCAGATGACTAGAGAGCTGTTTTTCATGAGATACAATTGTGTATGTGTGTAATCTGGATGAACGTCTAAGGAGTCACCTCTGCCACAAAGGACTCTCCGACAAAAAGCAACAGCAAGCAGAGCCTGAATTCTCTTACACAAAAGTATATCAGTGCAATTTCTGGCATTAATCAGGAGAGAAAAATAAACAGAGAGAAGGAAAGAGATGGGAGAGAAGGAGGTGAGGAAAAGGAAGAGGAAGAGAAGGAGGAACAAAGACACCAAGAATGAAGAAGAAAAGATAATGACAGAGAGATGAAAAGGGAGTCGAAGGTGGAGACAGACCTGGCCCTGTTTGATTTCAGGCTGATATAACAGAATAATATATATGGGTGTCTCAAACACCACTGTTGTATGGTTCAGAGGGTAGGAAGCCTAAGGCAGGTCAAGGTGTTGGCAGATCCTATGTCTGTTAAGAGCTTGCTTCCTGGTTCACACATCACCATCTTTTCATTGTATCTCACAGAGAGGAAAGGAAGCTAGCTGGCTTCCTCTGATAAAGGCATTAACTATATTCACTAATGTTCCACACTCATGACCAAATGGCCTCATATCTAAACACTATTACATTGGGATTAGGTTTTCAACAGATGTATTTGGAACACCAACACTCATGTCATTGCTTACCATTGTATGTGTATAGACATATACGTGTGTGTGTGTGTGTGTGTGTGTGTGTGTGTGTGTGTGTGTGTGTGTGTACCTTCTTACATACAGGGTTTTTTCTTTGTTGTCAAATGTTTGAGAAAACTGAGATGGCTACTAACTCACTCATGTGTTAGTTTTTCTTTTCTATCCTTTCTCCCCTTCCATTCCTATTAACCATTTACACACAAAAGAATTATTCATATATTGCCTTATTCACTGGAAACATCTTGCTTATCGAAAAAGGAAGCTCGGTGAGTGTAAGGCAATAAATCTTCTTATTAAAAGTAACTGTAACAAGGAGGCTTTCTCAGCTGGATTTGGGACTCCCTAACTACACCCATCAGTCACTGCCACCAAAAGACACTGATAAAAATCCAGGATCAGAATCCTGTGCTGCTCACAGCAAGGAGACATTACAAACACATCTACTGTTTACATCCAGGAAGTTCTAGGCAATTTCAGTCTTTAGAAGACCTAATATTTACCCAATAATTTGTCATGTTCAGGGCTGTTATTTTAGTCGTTATTAAGGCTTTTGCAGTGGTGGCCCGAGCAATCACATTTGTGTGGGACATGAGCACACTAGCAAGTCAGAGCAGCTGTAGGAGCAAAAATGGCTCCACCAAAGGTAATGAACTCAAAGTATTTTGCTGAGCTTTTCTTTTCACTCTCCACCTTCTTATTTAAATTAAATCCTTTCTCTCTGCGTCTCTTTCTGTCTCTCTGTCTCACTGTCTCCCCCCACCACTGTGTGTGTGTGTGTGTGTGTGTGTGTGTGTGTGTGTGTGTGTGTGTGTGTGTGTGTGTGTATGTGCACACCATAGTTCTTGTGTGGAAGTCAGAGGACAAACTCAGGTGTCCACCTTCTTTCAAATAGGGTCTCCCACTACATGTGACACCCTCTCTGGCCCATGCAGTTTCCAGGAATCGACCATGTCGCATCCCATCTCAAAGAAAACATTGGGACCCCAGGTGTGTACAACAGGCTTCACATAGATTCTGGGGGTCTGAACTCAGGTCCAAGTGTTTTACTCACTGAACCATCTCTCCAGGCACTTGTCGGAGCTATCAAGTAGTTCTGTGCTCCGGTGCTCCAAGTGTGAGATTTGTGAGCTTTCCTCACACTTACTTAAACAAAAGAGCCTTTATTTATGCGTCATCTCATGGAATTAGCATATTTGTAGTAACCCAGCTGTAAAAGCTCAATTTAAGATGTTAACCTGCTAAAAGGTATCTATATTTCAGATTGTCTCTAGATAAAAGCAACAAAATCCTTTGGAATAATAGTGCCCATAAGCACAGTAGCTATCACGGAGAATTGGCTATCTCCAGATGCTATTTGCTATTGACTGGATATGTTAGCTAGACCTGTTAAATTCATTACCACACCAGCTCCCAGTGTGGAGCTATCACAGGCAGCATAGTAGGGTCTTTGAAAGTTTTTGCAGGTTAGATGATGTCATAAGAGTGGGACTCTCATGACATAGTCTGAGCATTCCAGCTTCTAGAACCTCAAAAAACAAATATGTATTGCTTAAGCCACCTTCTAATTTGCCATTCTGTCCCTGGGCAATTAAGATCCTATTCCAAGCAGTTTAATTCTTCTAGTGAAGTAGGTAAGGTATGGAAGACAGAAGAGTTTAAGAGACTCTTGCAAGGTCACAGGATTTTGGGGGCACTACACCTGATAATCAGAGACAGGCCATTGACATCACTCCATAACTATGACAGATGTTGAAAAGGAACACTGGGGCTACTGATTGGGTTTTGTTGACACTGGGTTGGTGATGAATGTGTAGGAGCATTATTGGAGAATGCCCTAGGGATTACACAATGAGGGACCCTGAGAAGCAGAGTTGAGTACAGGGAGAAGCTGAACATCTGTGCAGTCCCAGGAGTACAGTGGCCTTTCTGGAGATACCTTAAATTTAAATAATGGAGCTAGGGTTTATATTTCCCCCCTCTATTGACACATGGATAGTGGAATGTGGGCTGTCTTCAGGGATGAGGTATCATATTAACTGTTACTATATCTTTTGGCTACGGGCAAGGCTTGATGTAGGACACAGTTGGGCAGCATCAGTGGCCAGCATGTCCAACAACTAGAAGTAATTCTCAAAGGTGGCAAGTATGAAGATGAACTCTGTTACATAAGAATCCTGAGGCCTTCCCTTAATTGCTTAGGTACCTCTTTTCAGCAAAATTGAATCTTTGGCTTTGACACAGAAAAAAAATTTCAGGGTGACCCCCTATGAAAGTTGGGGTTCATTAAAAGACCTTAGTGTAGATTTTAAGTACAAAGGTTAATAGAAAGAAGGCACCTGGGGAGAAAGGAAGACATACCCAGATTATGGAGGTGGGCTTGTCTGAATATACATTCCTTCATCTTTAAAATAGTCACAGATCAGTTTGGTAAATTTTGAAGTTATTATCTTCAAGGATTTCTAAGAAGCCTAAATGAGGTCACAAGGTGGTTCTGGGGGGTAACCTGACAAGATTATAGTTATAAGCTAAAACTAGATCAAAGGGTAGCAGGAAGGTTGGATATATTAACTGTAAACAGAGTTTATGGCCTTCTCTGAGATTCCAGAAATTGCCTGTGAAAAAGAAGCCCTAGTTAAGGTCGTACTCATCCAGGGAAACTTGACTCATTGTTACTTTAACAAAAAATATGTGTATGTGAAAGGAATCTATGTGATTGCCTTTCACAAGTAATGTGTTCAAATTCTTGCTTCTCAGCTATCAAGGGGTTTCAACTAGACTCCAGGGTGAGAAAGGATGAGACTCCTTTCTTTTCCTGCATCATCATAATTCTGTCTTCTGTGAAAAGAAAATGTTGTTTTATTTCTGTCAAAGGTTGCTAGCCCACCAAGGACTAGTATTTCTTAATCCTCTCCCATCTTATCTTGTGATGGGCATGTTTGTTCAACTCCTGGATATTCCCAAGACTTGACTATCATGCCTTCCCTCTTCACACTAATTAGTCAACCTATTCAGATTGTGAGGTTGAGCTTCCAGCAATGGCATGGGACATAGTCACTATGTGCTTTAGAATAAAAACTAAGTGAACTTCCTGCCATAGTGCTGTTGTGAACCCTTTTCACAAAAACAAATTGCCTTGCCAGGTTACTGTGTTGCTTTGTATGACATGGAGAATACTCTTTCCAACGTTTCTGTATTGCCTTAGAAGGAGCCTACTGTTGGTAGAAAAGTGATTTTAGTGGTATACCACATAGTCATCTGCATTGAGAGGCATAACCAGACAAAATTTACCTGATTAGAAATCTGAAGAAAGGTACTCCTCTTGAAATAACAGTAGATCTGCCATGAAAGGGGGAAAAGGGAGGGATTTAACCGGGCATGAAAAATGGTGAGACTTTCTAGGAACAGGAAGCAGCACATGCAAACATCACTTGATGATCCTCCTGCTGACTTGTCCCATTGTAAGATAGTTTCTGCTGACTCTCTCCCATTTCCCCCCTGGAAACAGTATATGAGGTGCTATCCTTCTTAATAGGCTTGCTTGGCATATAACAGCTCATCCAAGACTTCCTGGGCCACCTGTTCTATCTTCCTTATCTCTGATGCCCCGGACCTTTCACTCTGTACTTGTCCAGACAAAGTGATATTTAGAGGTATCTCCAAGAACGTGGTGTGGAGAGGAAATAGGGAGAGAAGGACAAGAGGCCACCTAGGGGAAATACAGCAGGAGATACGACTGAGAAGCCAAGTAAACAGAACAGGAAATGCAGCCATGCAGCCTCAGATGGAGCCTCAGTGGGGCAGTGGGCCCAGCGGACACACAGAACTGGGATGGGTAGGAGCGGACGGCCAGGATATGAAAGTGTGATTGCCGATTTCCCTCACAGAGAATGGGTTAACAGAGGACAGTGGATTGGCAAGAGAGAGGAGCTGAGGCAAAATAGTACAGGGTCTGTTTTTGTTTCAGCTGAACAACCAGGACACATGCAGGTTCCAGTGGAAAGGACCCTACTGGGTGGCAAATGACAGCTCTTCAAGCTAGGGCCTTGTTAACAGTGAGACACAATGTCTCTGCAAATGGACTGGATGGGGTCCCGGAACAGGTAGATGGGATTGGTGCCAGACAGGTAGGCAGGTGACACCTTGAGCCTAACTGGAAAAAAAGAAGATAGGACACAAGCAAATTAAAATAAGTTTCGGTACTCAGGGCTCAAACCGTGTGATTTTCTTTGTGAAGGGAAGCAGAGGGCAGGTTGACATCATGAATACTTATTTAACTAGATTGGACTAGATTGGACTAGATTGCATTGGACTTCAAGAGGGAAATTGACCCAAACAAAATGAAAAGAATAAATGAGCCACTAAAAGTGGAGAAGAACTCAAGGAAAAAAAAAAATGAATTGAACCCAGAAAGTTACAAGAAGAGAATGATCAAATCTGAATTGTTTTTCCTATATCTGTTCAGAGTTTCTTGGCATTGCCTTTAACACACCAGAGAGGTCTGCTGGCTGGTGGCTCACACCAACAAGACCAAAATCTTAGATCATCTTCTCCAACTGTTGCAACTTTTACTAAAAAACAAAATCAGCATTTCTTCGGGTAGCCAGTTTTGAGAGGCATCCGGTGAATTGTTCTCTGGGGCCTGTTTAAGAATTTGGAGAAAATATAAGGCAATTCAAAAAGCAATAAGCTATTTTTCTCAGCAGCCTGGCCATCTCAAGATGCAGCCTTGCTCAGGCTTTCAACTGTCTCCTGCATCTTTGATTTTCATCAGGAAGAAATCACATCACAGCACTTCCCTCCAAATAAATATGTTGCTAGCAGAGCTTGCTCTGAGGAAAGAGAAGGAAAAAGAAGACGTGTTTTCTTTGTATATTTTCTCACAGGTGATTAATTCGCTCAACTGAAGGAGCTCGGAGTGTAACACTTGAAGATATGAAATGCGCTGAAGGTCTTAGGAAGAAACACAGTCAATAAAATGTATCCCAGTACTTAAAATTCAGGCATAATTAAAAGGAATTAAAATTATATTTCATGTTTAATTTAATATTTTGTTGTATGGCCATTATTCATTTGATTTCCAAGCAATAATATGCTCCATTTCCAATTAAATATTGATTGGTAATTTTATACTATTTGCTATATAGAGTGAATTTAGAGAAGTTAAAGATAATTATCATTTATTTCACATTTCTATGTAACTTAAAATGTATTTAAGGTACTTGGAAATTATATTTTTTCTTTTTATAATTAATTTATTTATACATGTGTATGCATGTATGCACACCTATTCGTGCATGAGACCACAAAGATCAGAAGAATGTGTCAGACCCCCTGGAACTAGAGTATCAGGCAATTGCAAGCCAGCCAATGTGGATGCTAGGCACCTAACCCTGGTCCTTTGCAAGAGTAACAAATGCTCTTAACTGCCAAGTTACCTCTCCAGCCGCAGAACTTCTATATTTCTATTAAAAATAAGATACAAATATAATTTTAAATAAAATGTCCAAAGTGCATACATCAAACATATTAGTATAAACATAATAGGAAACAGAAAAAATATAGACAATAACTTTTTTTAAAAAGCGGGATTAAAATGGTATGTTGAACACATGAAAAGACTTTAACTCCTTTCCACATTCCAGACATTGAGACATGAAGATGAAGACGAGACAAAGGAGTGAGAATGAACTAGGGAACCATCAGAACTTCAGGGACCTGGCTGGCGTGAGAAAGCTGTGCTTGTTGTTATCTATAGAAAAACAGTAAACCGTCCAGTTCAAAAGGCTAAAAAAATACTTGGAATTTTATTTTTGCCATGAAGAAATGCTAACCATTTGAGAAGCTAGATATGTTTAACCATTTGTGAACACTACACAATGTGTGCATGTGTTAAAATACATCATTGCCCCATCAGTGTATACAATTAGAAATAAGTTTGGTAACAGTTTTAATAGGCAGTTTCCCCCAAATGTGTCAGCCTCCTCCTGTTTTTGATCACTTTATAGAACATCCATGGCTCTCTGAGATGACACTTCCTTTCCTCTCTAACCTTGACTCTCTGACCTCTGACCTTCTGACCCTCTAAGTTGGAAGGAGTCAGCATCCATTGTTTGTTTTTGTGATATTCAAGTTGCCCAGGACCTGACACTTGTTTTTGTTGTAGACATCCTGAGGGTAGCTGAGCAATGCAGAACACCTCTGAAGTTGATTAATTTAGCCTGGATCTTTTAAAAGGATAGACTTTAGGGAAAGTATGTTAGGGAAAACTGGAAGGAAAGTGGGAAAATAATGGCAACATGCTTAGTATTTGTGAGGATAAAGGAAGTAATGATTTAAATGTATTGGTCCAAAAAATTTTTAAGAAAATGATTATCATATCAGCTCTGGAGAAAACAGAGATGAATGGAGTTTGCACCTAGAATCCTCAAATTGCCAGTTCAGGAACAGTGATAAAGGGGCTGAAATATGTAACTGCACTGAAGGAGCAAAAAGTTGATCAGGACCCAACACATACTCACAGAAAGATACACATGCAGGACTTATAGGCAGACCAAGCAAGAAGCTTTAAAATCAAACAGTTGTTGTCTTATGCCAGCCAAGGATAACAACAGAGCTGGGGGGCAGGGGGAGGGATGGAACGAAAGATGCAACATTTACATATAGAGGCATTCCTTAAAACTAGGAAAAACTCAACTAAAAATTAGATTAGGAACTTACCTGAAGGTATCTTTCAGAAATCAAGGCATTTCAATAAGAAAATTTTAAAGCAAAATAAACTCAATAATAAATTGTGTCAGAGATGAAGTAACTGTTGATGTATGTATGAATGAAAGAATAAGTGTTTAGGGCAGACCAAATTGGCAGATTGGAAATGTATGGTTTGAGAATATAGACACTAACAAAGACATGTTGCTATTGCAAAATTGCAGAATGTGGAGAGATGAAAAGGGAAAAGAACCTAAAGACTCCAGGAGAGAGAAAAAATTAACAGAAGCAAAACTGGTATTAGATAGGAGAGACAGCTCAGTGGTTAAGTGTGAGTCCTGCTTTTACAGAGGACCAAGTTCAGTTGCCAGCAATCAGGCAGCTCACACCTATAACTCTAAGTCCAAGGAATTTGATGCCCTCTACTGGCCTCAGTGGACACTTGCACTCATGTGAACACACACACACACACACACACACACACACACACACACACACACACACACACACATAATTAAAAATTAAAAGGAACATCAACAAATGTTCAAGAAACTAAACATTTTCAGATTTATTAATAGCAACACTGGGTATAAAAACACCAAAATAGTATATTCAAAACTATCAGGAAAAATATTTTTTAACTGAGTTTGCTGCCTCGTTTATAACCAGTCAGTTTCAAAGGTAGACTGAAGGAATCTTCAATCTATAGAATCTCAAGGATTTTTTTTTCCAGATGACCTTTTCAGGTTTCTTAAAGTCTACTCTAGAGACTGAGGATGAGTAACTTGCCTAAAGTTTTCCTAGTTTTGGAGCTGCAAGCCTTGGAAACATCTCTTTTCTAGACATATCAAGGAAGTGGGTCCCTCGCCTCTGCATTCACAAAAAGAGTTTAATAGCAAGTCCAGAAGCAACAGATAGATCTTCCATTAGCTCCTTCTCACCCCTAACAAAGCCATCTCAAAAGGAAAAAAAAATGGAAAATACTGAAAATATAAAAATCTCACAATGACCACTAGAATTCTAGACACGAAGGAAGCAGGAAAATAGAATCCATATTAGGAAAAAAATCCATTGATAAAAATAGACCAGAAGTAATTGAGATGGTGGGATTTGCTGAAGAGTGTATTCATGATTTTTTGGTGGCCATAATAGAATACCTGACAGAAGCAACTTAAGGGAGGAGGGGTTCATGTCATCGTGGTTTGAAGACTCACATCATCAAGGTGAGATGAAATGGCAGCAGATGCTTGAGGCAGATGCCTCATCATTTCTCTAGTCAGAAAGCAGAGAGCAATGAATGCTGGTGCTCATCTAGTTTCCTCTTTTCATTCAATCCAGGACTCTAGGACATGGGGTACATCCTACCTTAATTTGGAGTGGGTCTTCCCATCTCAAATAACCCAATCTAGAAAACCCCAGAGATTTGTTTCCATGGTGATTCCAAATGCCATCAGGTTGATGATCAAAAGTAACCATAACAATGAGGCCATGGAGGCGGGTGTTAGAGGGTAGTGGATAGGCTACAGAATGGACATAAAAAAGTGGGGCTTTCTGGGGAGAAAATGGAATGCCTGAAAGGAATGCTTCACTCTGTAGATTTTGCAACAAATTAGATGCTTCAGAGGGAGGTCTATGAACCCGAAGCCATAGCAGCAGAAATTACCCAAAGCCTTAAAACCTCTTTAATATTCCTCCTCAATGCTCTTGGGGGCCTAAAGTGCATGAATGAAGTGCAGATATTCAAGTGGAGAGAGTGCACACAGAGACAACACAAGGGATACAGGATGGAGATGAGAGGTTTTATAAAAGAGATGAACCTAGTTGTCCCAACGCACGTATCAGCCCTCCAGAGGAATTAAAGCCTTGGTTGCCAGGTGACTGCATCTACATGGACGAGCTTTCTAGATGAGATCCATTATGTGCAACTGTAAAATAGAACAAAGTAATTTGTAAACCAAAATACTTTCTTTAAAAAGCAGAAAAGTGAGGGATGGGGGAGGGGGCGACTCAGTAGGTAAGAGCGCTTGTTGTACATGCACAAGGTCCTGGGTTTGAATCCCCAACATCCACATAAAAGCCATGAGTGGCTGTGTATACCTGTCACACCAGCATTGTTGCAGCAAAGACAGGCAGATGCCAGTTTTTTTGGTCTCCAGCCAACCTAGCCAAAACAGTGAGCTTCGTTCTATGAGAGCTGTTGCCTCAAAAATAAAAGGCCAAGAGTTATGAAAGAAGACACACATGTGACCATACAACACATACACACATATGCAGTAGTTATTAATCATTTAAAAGTAGAAAAGTAAAATTGACAGAAATGATCTAACATTTTTTGAGCCGTGGAAAATACTGGTTGGTGATTGAAGAGTAGAAAGAATAAACCCTAAAGCTAGAGATGCACAGACTAGGTATGTGTCCCTAACAAATATGACTGTGACCAGGTAACATATGGGTTGCTTACTCTTTGAATAAAGAATGGGAAACTGCCAGACAGCACTACTGTATTTCAGTTGCATTTTGATTTAAATTGGCTTCTGGAGACCTATCCACCATGTTTAGTGTCTATTTCCATGGAAAGTGTATTTCACATTAAAGCAATCTATTAATGATCCTTTCCTGAGAAAGCTTGCATTTGTAACATCACAAAGCCCACTCATTCATCAGCTAGATTGCAAAATTTCACTCCTACAGATAACCAGTTTTTCATAAATCAGAGTAAAATAAGAGCAGTGAAGATGGCCCATAACTCTTCCACATATCTCTCTCCCTTAGTACCTTCTCACTACTGATGTCCTAATATATTGTTATTGCTTTTCTCACTCGTGGCTTAGCTCCCTCTCCAGGTAATGATAGTGGTAGCCAAGGACCAGAACTCACACACTTCTGAATGTTTCTAGGACAGCCTGGCATTGCATCAGCCATCCTCAGGCTTACAGCTTGTCTCTGTTTAATACCATCAGTTCCTCTTATACCAAATATCAAACTGCTCTGCCACATCTCTCAGGCCAAAGACAGCCCTCTTCTGAATGAGCCAACCAGCTTGATTGTGCTTTATATTTTTTAATCTATTATTGGAGAATACATGTATACAATGCATATTAATCGTATCCATTTCCTACTCTTCCTCTCCAGCTCTTTACAGAGCCTTTCTATGACACCTCCCCAACATAAAACTTCATGTCCTCTTTTCATAACTCACTGAGTCCAGTTAGTGCTTCCCATACGGGCACGGACATAGGGTCATCCACAGTTACATGGGCAACCTACCAGGGGCCACATCCCTAAAGACAACTGATTCTCCTTCCTCCCACAGCCGACAATTGCCAATAGCTCCTCAGC